ATATCTTAGCAGCGCAAAAGAAATTCCAAAAATGGTTTATACTGTAAATGAAACAATACTGAATAATACTTTTGCTGTTATTGTAGTTCAGTGTAGTGCATTACTTTGTGTGGTGACGTCAACTGAGACAATGGAATTTTCAGTGATTCTAATTGTGGAAGAAACAAGCACTCTCCTGGGTATCTAACATCTAAACAGCCTCTGCAAAAACCAATATGTATTGTACCTTTATACTCAGCCCAAACACCTCTCCAGCTCACTTGATGCACTCTCACTTCTGTCCAGTTTTTATTTGAAGCTCAAACCTGAATGTGTACACATAATGTACAAGAGCAGTGGTTGCCAGAAGGTTGGAAAAGTAGTGGGTGAAATTTGGGACTGTGTATTCACAAGTAGCTGGCCACCTACCCAGGTTCCAATTATCCAAATATCTTCATACTTAATGAATGTTAAGAGACATAGGCAAACAGAGACAGAGATTTGTCATAGAGACCATTTCAAGCACAGAGAAGTGCACACAGACCCAGTTACCATGGCAGCCTATCTTATGTACATTATACCTCATGTATCTGTATGTGGGCTATCAGGCGTGGGTGTAGTATTATTCTAGCCTGGCTGCATGGCTGATGCTACCTTTGATTGTACACTGATGGTAAATGTCATCGCTAAGCTGGCACCTGGCCTGAATATGACTCAGCATCAAAATGTTAAGCACCTCAAAGCCCTGGTCTAATTTTCTCTTTTCATTACATGCTTTGTAATGAAAAGAGAATTTATCCAAGAATTTATACAGAACTGGGCTTGTTTAAGTTTTGGGTGGGAATTCCACCAAGGTACAAGTGGAAACTGGTAGGTACAGTTTGGTCCTCTGGATCAGTTAAAATCTGAATATATGTATGTTAATAGTTGATACAAATCATTTTACCTGTTAGTGGTACAGATATATTTAGCAAAATAAAAATGGCATGATTTTGTACAAAATGACTGAAAAATGTTGAGATAAAAGAAAAAAACAATTCCACTTGCACGACAATTTCCTTGGAAGACCTTTAGTTTCATAAAGTATAAGGCTCCATATGGCCTGCTGTGGTGAAACCACTGTTCCAGTTTTTGATTACAGCCGTTGTATCTGTGGAGAGATCCTGACCTCTGTTAATTCACTTGCTGTGCTGTGAGTGAGACTGGTATTTGGAAAGGTGGACCTGGAAATAGCTGGCTGAGCTTTTTTAAGCTGCGGGTTCAAGCGTGGCAGCACACCTTGAGCTTGTTCAGCTCAAGGGACACAAAAAGGTTGTTCAAATGTCACTAGCAATCCCCCAACACTGACCCAAAACCCAGTGCTGCACCACAGCCAAGACTGTGAATGTGTCTGATGCCCTAAGGCCATGATGTGGATGCCAGAGTGTGTTATTTGTGACTCTGAGTGAGGACTGTACGTGAAAACAGCACAACCCTGAACATGACACTTACAGTCAATGATATCATGCTGCTAAATTCTCAGTAGGTTAGTCTAAGCCAGTGGTTCTCACTCTGGAAAAAACCCTCAAGAGGTCATTAGATCATTCTAGAGGCTTGCAAGGCATCCCGTAAAAAATAATACATACAATAGTTCTATTAATTGTAATCTTCCCTGTGAAATGCTGAGTTTTTAACCTCTCTACACTGATTCGGAAGGAAAAGAACTACTATACCGCACCTCTGAAAAATCATTCTTTGGATAGACTTTTCAGTGGATTATGAGCAAGCACCACTTCATTTATAGGTATCACAACATAAAAACCAACCATGACATGTAGTGATTTACAGTAGGTGCTAAATCAGTACAAGTGGCACAATGGTAATGCACAATGACAGTGTCGATATTTTCTTGCTGCCTATCCACCAACTTCGTTGACATCTGGTCTTTGTAATGCAACATGTAATGTCAAAATCATGACGTAGGGCAATGAGGGAAAAATGTCTGAATCACATTTAAAACTGCATACAAACAGGACTTGTGTGAAAATACACAAAAATATTTAATATACTTTTGACAGTATACTTGAACATGGCATATTTAAGTGTAAACAAAATATAAACCAGGAAATCATTACAAATATTTTCTCTATTTTCAATTGAAACTACTACTTTACTGCATCACTAACCCGGGGCATGGTATGCATGGGTGTCTACAGTAACAGACCCCTGACTTTTTCAGTCCTTTTAAAATAATACTTGGGAGAAACTATAATAAAAATTTGCCCATTGAATGCATATATAAATTAAAAACAAATCAATTTCTTCACTTTTGTGGGTATAAAGCCTCCATGCTGTGGCTCATATTTCTTCTAAAAAGCAGTGTACCATGAAATCAAGTTGATGACTGCTGCATATTGTGTTTGTAATGAATCTACAACTCAAAATCATAATTAAAATCAGCTTAGTACAAACAAACAAATGGACTACAGACCACATATGTATGTAATGATACAACTAGTTTGCGATTCAGTTCGATACACGAAACAGGGCTTAGAGTTTGATACACTCACGATAACACAGTGAGAGTGAAAACTAATGTAACATTTATTTTGTCATAGGGATGTAAATTCACACAACCTGTTTCAAACATTTTGTTTCTTATCCAAACATTTCCCTTATTCTGTAGATTAGAATTTAATTAGATTAGAGTGCAGCTAATACAATTGTGGCTAACGACTAGTGGAGCTGACCCTAATGCGCGTCAGGGTCAACAACAGATTGGTCAGTAAAACAGATCTGGCCTATTGCACCGTCTTGTGTTAACATAAATAAATTACATGGGAGTCTTGGCTTGATATTGTGATCCATTTTTCATTTTCTTGATCTGTATTCTCACTTTTTTTTTAAAATCACAATATATTATTCATCGATGCATTGTTACAGCCTTAATATATGGTTTAACACCTGTCGGGGGGTCTCTAACACAATGACTGTCCAATAACACTGGAAATACACACTGCTGATCTATGGCAGTGATAGACCTTCAGTAAGGGCAACAGTCCAATTATATAGAATTCATTTGGCATTAATGTTGTCACTAGCCGAAGATAACAGATATTAATAATCTCTACATAGTGCTCACCATCACTGTCATTTGCCTCTTTCCTTTCCCCTCCCTCTTCCATTTCCCTCACTTGCATTCATTTGGTGCATCTAATAATAACCTGGCCACCAGCCCATCAATACCATCACTACTTGTGCAAGACACATGATGTGGGCAAGTCCCAAACATTTGACTGAGAATAAATGAGGTGAACTACAAAAGTCTGGTCTTATGTAACTACAGAGAGACATAGAGAAACAATAAAGAAAGGAAGAGCATGTTTAAGCAAATAAGAGAGATGACACACTTTGAGACAGAAAAGATATGGGACATGGGGAAAAGAAAAAAGAAAAAGGATGGAGGAAGCAAGGGACAAAAAAATAGACATAAAGAGCAAAAGAAAAATAACCCCAAATAAATAGATAATGATGGTGAGGGAAACAGAAAGATTGAAAAAGACAAGTAGAAATTTACACACCAGGTGAAACACAACTAAAATATGTGACCTGAAAAGAGAAATCTGTCGACTCTCTTTATGTTTACATGCATTCCTTTTCTGTAATTCTTCCCTCAGTGACTACAACCTCATATTTACGGGTCCACATCCTTCCATCCCTCCACTTTTCTTCTTTCCATTTGTTCAACTCTTTCTGCCTATTGATTGAGGATGGTACTTTCATCCATCTCTGTGCGGTGAAGAGAAAGACTATTGCATTATCCATAAAAGCAAAGACCTCTGCCTGCTTTTAGTCTTTATATCACTTCCTCCTTCTGCTGCTGCTGCTGCTGCTGCTGCTGTCTGGTCCACTGGGCTTTGTCACTATCTACTAGTTTACAAATCTCCTACTAAGAATACAAGCATATGTCACAGACCTTGGTTGCATCACTGCTTGATCATGTTTGGAAATATTTGTTTTGCTAATAGCAATGTTACTTCCAGGCTGGACTACTGTAACTCTTTACTATCAGGATGTCCCAATAGTTCCCTAAAAAGCCTCCAGTTAATCCAAAATGCTGCAGCCAGAGTACTGACAGGAACTAGCAGGAAGGATCATATTTCTCCCATATTAGCTTCTCTCCACTGGCTCCCTGTAAAATTCAGAATAGAATTTAAAATCCTTCTCCTAACATACAAAGCCCTTAATGACAAGGCTCCATCATATCTTAAAAACTTCATAGTACCTTATCATTCCAACAGAGCACTCTCAGAGTGTAGGTCTACTTGTGGTTCCTAGATTCTACAGAAGCAGAATGGGAGGCAGAGCCTTTAGCTATCCAGCTCCTCTCCTGTGGAACAGGCTTCCAGGCTCAGTTCGGGAGGCAGACACCCTCTCTACCTTTAAGATTGAGCTTATATTTAGGGCTGGATCAGGTGACCCTGAGCCTTCCCTTAGTTATGCTGCTATAGGCCTAGAATGCTGGGGCTCTTATAATGCTTTGAGGCCCTCTTCTCTGCCCACTCTCCATGCATTTATATGCCACCATTACATGCCATTAACTCTGTGAACCAGACCAGGTGGTTCAGACCAAGTTAAACAAGATGCATATAAAACATACATATAAAACCGCCTCAGTTAGCAGCAGATTAAAATAAAATTTTTCAGTCAGTGCTGGTGCACCAGAGTTCAGTGCACCAACATCAGCAATAACAGAACTGCACCAAACAGGTTCTACTCTATGTAAATACAGCACAGAAAACATACAACTGTAAAATACTAAAGGTCCAGAAAATCACTTTGAAGTTGTGCAAGCGCTCTGGGAGGTCAAAAGGCCAAAACAGGCTATAATAGTCTTGGGAAAGTACCACATGCATTTAAATTTCACAGCTAAATGAATGTGTTCTCCAACACACAGTAATTCACAGTTCATAGGAACAGCGTGTATACAACTTGTTATAAGCAGTTGCCCCTCCCTGGTCTGTGTGTGTGCGTACATTTACCTTAGTGATGAGAATGCGGTAATGCTCAAGCATATCGTGGTTGTCATGGCAACCAGCCAGCAGCTGCCAGACTTCAGCTCTGAGCGGCTCAGGAATACCACTGCGAACCAACGAAGGCAAACCCTTCGGACGAGCGGACAGGTTCCCATGCCTGACACACACACACACACACACACACACACACACACACACAGGCAGAAAGAATCCATTATTTTATAATCCAGTTCAATATTAACTTGGTGCAGCTTTTTTTTTTTTATTATGTTCTTGGGTGCAAAATTAAGATTTGGGCGTGACAAAAAGAAGACCAATCAAGTCAAGAGTTGCATGCCTCTCACACTGAAATATTCATGTTCACTAACATGAGAACTTTTTTGTACATATTTATTAATTACAGCAATTAGATCAGAAGGCAAGTATGTTTTGTCCTCAGTATTGTGACCAGATAGAGAACCTAGTCAACTGTTACACACATTAACTGGAGCTTCCCATTAAAACCAGACTATTCATTCCTAAACATGGCTGAGTACTTGCACAAATGTACTTATATTACTACAGTAGTGAGTGTAATAATCTGCTACAGATTGATACTATTATTACCTACAGTTAATTATGGTATAGTACTGAGTACAGTACAATAATGTAGTGTGGAGTATTCACTGCAGTCCTGCCATGCTGTTCGAGTTCTCCCACAGAGGAAACATCCTGCTTTGGAAAACACACTGTCAGCTCTTTTTAATGATGCTTGAAATCTCATCATGATGCATTTACTGAAGCCATATGAAAGAAATTTCCTGATAAACTACTTCTCTTCATTGTGCTGATGAAACAGCAAGAAAACAGACCGCAAATGAAAAACATGAAACATTTTTATTAAGCTAATTATGCTGATGTCTATATCTACAGCTGCTTGCATCAATACTTGCTGTATAAATCCACCGAGTATTAGAGTCATGTATGTGTTATAGCAAATCAATTCATGGCTGTCTGAAGGGCACTGTTTTCCAAAAAAAAAAAATTTATTTATTGATCTCACTGAGTATTTACACTAGTTTACAATCCAGTTTTCTTTGCTGTAAGCTATCTGAAGTAAATGTTGCTGGAATTTATCTCCAAGTTAAAATCAGTCATTTGCTTGTGCCAATAGTGTATTGAGACTTTATGATGCTTGAACTGTGTTATGATAAAAAATTTGGATGATTCTAAATGCACTGTGCTATAAAATTATAGCATGACATGGTATAGTTGGAAACACCTGGCTCTCTACTAAGAGTAAAAATCAAGTTCCATATTTTAAACACTGTCAGTGTGATGTGTCATTCCTGAGTTAAAGGATTGTATCGGCAGCTATATTGTCACTGTTAATATCTGCACAATCCCCATGTCTGTTCATGCAAACTATTCTAACTGACACAGCTGTGATCAGGTCATGCTAAAGGAAAGGATTTTGTAGAATAGGCAAGTGCTATAAATAAAATGTAATAAATAAAACTTAAGTCATGGGACCCTGGTGTAGTTTGTTTATGGCCTAACAGTAGCTTTTTATTTCTGGAGACTGTATTTGGGCTTCAAAAATGATAAAAGTGGTGTTCATTTGTGAAGATTATCTTGCTGAACAAAATGCTAAGTGTCATAATCTATTATTTGTCACAGAGCTTATTTACCCCAATAATTCAAAAGCCTATTCCCTCTATTCTCATCTAAATAATTTGCTTTCTGTAAACCTGTTCTTTTAATATATATTTCTCTTTGTCTCTCTTCACCTCCACATTTTCTGTGTGTATAATTCTCTTCTAATCTATATCAGATTCTCCTACCTCACCATGCTTCTGTTTCTGTATCTCTCTGCCCTGATTTCAAATATTTGTCCCCATCTCATTTAATCCAGATGTTTTGGTCAAGTCTTAATTCCCACATTTCTCAGTCTTTCTGTCTCTTTTGAAGCCTTACCATCTGTGGAGGATTCCTCCCCAGGACTCTAGGATTTTCTCAGGACAGTCTTTGGAAACGTCTCCGGTCCCACTTGAGATTTCGCTGTCACTATCTGGAGGAAATACCAAGATAAATACAGACATTTAGAGCATTAATGGTTCATTGCTGAGATCTGTAACCTCTGTCCATTCACCAATACAGTACTCAGACCAACACCATGTTGGTCACAAGGTGTTGGTCTTTAATATGGTCTAAACCCGAATGTGTTGTGC